CAAACCCGCCACCCAGCCCTGAGAGGGGCGTCCGGGAGGGACTCCCTGGAGATTCCACCGTACCCCGGGTCACCGGGTCACCGGGTCACCGTTTGCGGTTCTGCTCCTCCTCCCCAGCTCTTCCTCTTCCTCCGGGAAGCCTGCCTTGACTCCAGCCCCCAAATCCCAGGTGTAGGGAGGGGAGGACCCTAGAAAGGTGCCTCTCACTGGGAAGCTCTGGAAACCCAGAGGAGGAGGGCCAGGAGGCTACCACACCCAGACCTTGCCCCACCTGGGCCTGTTTCCCACCGAGGCCCGAGGGAGACACAATCCACCAAGAGGCCCAAACGTTGGCACAAAGAGGTTTTATTTTATTATAAAAAGTTCTGCTGGCTTAGGGGAGCCAGAGAGGTGGGGCCCGGGCCTCTCACTAGCCAGGGAGGGGGTGGGGCAGGATGGGGCCCAGAAGCCAGAGGGGGCCCAGCAACGGCTGGCTTTCCTGTGTTGTGCCTGCACCCCCTTCCGTTGTATGGGGGGCAGTGCTCACCCGGAGTTCAGCCAGGGTTGGGCCAAGCCTGAGCCCTAACAGATGGAATAGCTAAGTGTGCTGCCCACTGTGCCCTAGACCCCTCATATACAGACCCCCCAGGATCTCCCGTATACAGGGGCCTCCCCGGGACTCTCATATACACAGACCCCCCAGGATCTCCCGTATACAGGGGCCACCCCAGGCCACTCATATACACAGGCCTTCCTGGATCCTTTATATACACAGACCCCCCAGTGTCCCTCATATACATGGGCCTCCCAGGACCCCTCACATACCCACATACATGTGAGCCTTCTTACACCCCCTACACACACACACACACACACGGCCGTGAGCAGGGTGGGGGCGGCGGTGGCGGCTGAGGCCCTGCCTGGTGCCAGCAGCAGCTCCGGGTCCCTTACACGTCCGTGCTCCGGAGGCTGGAGCTGGAGGCAGGAGTGGCCCTCAGGCCCAGGCCCGGCCCCCACAGCGGCCTCGGCCCCCCGCGCAGCTTGCCCAGGAGCACCTCGTACTTCTGCTGCAGGACCCTGTTCTTCACCGACTGCGGCACGTCCGGCACGAACCAGGCCGCCACCAGCTTGATGCACAGGGCCACGTGCTGCGGGGGGCAGGGGCTGAGTGGAGCGGTCAGGCAGGCTTGGGGGGGCAGGGAGGAGGACCCCCCGGTTCTGCCCACCTCGAAGAGGATGAGGAAGGCCAGCCGGATGGCCAGGAGCGTCCAGAACTGTCCCGAGAAGTTGTAGTCCTGAGCGTTGCGGTAGTCCCGGTACCTGGGGTGGGGGCAAGACCTAAGGTCAGGGGTCAAGAGTTCAGAGGGCATACATGGGGAGGCCGGCGGGAGGCCAGGGGTTCCAAACCTGCATTCAGTGATGTTCTCTGAGCCCTTTATCCTGACCGGGTCCTCGAAGTCCTTGGTGTGGAACACGGACAGACTGTGGTTGATGTAGCCAGTGAGGCAGCTGGCGGGAGGGGGAGAGGAGACGGGCCTGGGCTGCAGGGTGCGTGGGTGCTTCCTGAGAGCTGATGACTGTCTGGTGGGTCACCACCAACCCCTCCTCATTCCTCCACGTGGGAGAGGGCCCCTGGGGGAGGCTGAAGGGGCTCCGGATGCCACCACCTGCCTCCCCGGCCCGGGGCTGAGGGGAGCCTTGTGCCGGGCAGGCCACGGAGGGTCTGCCTTTGGGGGGCAGAGGTTCAGTGCCTGCTCAGGACGCAGCTGGTCCTGGGACCTAAATCCCCCGCTGGGGTCCCGGTCAGCACTCCTGGCTCCGGCCCGGGGCTGCAGGGCAGGGCAGAGGCAGTACCGGCAGCACTGAGCCCTTCCCCGGGCTCCCTTGCTGAGCTGTGGTTGGGCCAGTTTTCCCAGGGGTCTCTGGGCAGTTTGAGCGCCCCCCCACCCAGGGGCTGTGTGGCCGCGCCCCTTACTCGGCTGAAGAGTGGGCGCCCTGCCGGCACGGGCCGTAGCGGTACTTGTAGACGACCCTGGGGATGAACTCGGACGTGAAGGCGATGACCATCCCGTTGGCAATGACCGCCAGCACCCCGATGGTCTCCAGCACCTGCAGCCAGGTCCCTGCGCCAAGCAGTGGGGAGAGGCTGTCTGGTTCCTCCAGCCATGACCACTGCTGCTGCCGGCCCCACCTCCATCCGTGCCCACCGTCCATCCCCCAAGCGAAGAGCCTGGATATCGGGGGGCCTCGTCCCACCTCTGGGCACTGCACCCATGGCAGCCACGGGCCAGACCCCGAGAAGAGACCTGGGCCAAGGCTGACAGCCCGCCTTCGCTCTCCTGACCCCCCGTCTGGGCATAGACAGGAAGGGGCTCAGGTCTCCCTGCCTCCCTTGTCTGTCTGACGCCCTCAGCTGCCCCCAAGCCTGCTCAACCCCCTGGGTCCCCTGAGCCCAGGACTCGGGCCTCTCTACACATGTCCCTCCCTCCGCCCGCTGCCCGCTGCCCGCCCCCAGCTCTCTGTCCACCCCGACTCCTGCCCGGCTCAGTGCGGCCAGTCTGGGCCACCTGCCCTCAGTCCCGGCCGCTGCTGCTGCGCCCCTCTCTCC